ATGTGTGTGCAATGATGATGTCCCTGTGCTGATCCCTGCATCTCTGCATGTCTCCATGCATTTGACTGGGACTTTTGCATGTTGAGATTTGGGGTGGAAGTGTCTTTAATTCCCCCCTGTTCCCCTTTTAACCTAGCTGGGCTGGCCAGGAGAGGGGGAAGGGGCTATGGAGAGGGCCACCTTCCCTCTCAAAGTTTTTCATTGGAAGGGAAGACACAGCAGTAGCCCAGGGACTCACTGATAGGACTTACCCTGGCTCCCCCTGGCCAACTGCCATGCCTGCTACTCAGAGGAGGGCCAGAGGCAGGGGCAGGGGCTGGAGTGGGGGAGACTAGAGCTGAAGGAGCCCCACTTCTCCTTGGAAGGGGAGAAGCAGGAAGAGAGATGGGAGAGAAGGGAAGATAAAAACAGAAATTTACAGGGGGGAATTGGAGGGGAGGGTCAGTGAGTTTTCCTTTTCCCACATCATTGTTAACACATTGCTCAATTCTGGACAGAGCCCCCAGCTAATGGGGAACCCTAGTCCTTTGAAACCAGCTACTCTGCGGGCTAGGTTTAAGGGGTCTTTGCAAAGACCAGAGCCCATCTCCTAGCCTCTGCCTATAGGCCCTTCTTAGCACCATCACGCTGCCCCTCCACCACATCCCAGGTCAAAGGAGCCCAGGCCAGGAAAGGGTGACCCCAGGTGAACTGGTGCTGGCTGAGAGGCGATTTGCCGCCACCGCCATGGGGAGAGTTGAGCTCAGATACGAGGCAGAACTGGAAAGCACAGATCCGGGGGGAGAGACAGCGGGTGTACCATCACCTCCTGAGAGCAGGAAGTCAGTGTCCGCCTTCTCTGGCCTTCCTCCTCCTCCTCTCGGCCCACATCCCTTACAAGCGGTGGGATTGGTCCTTGATCTCCAAGGCCCGGTCTACACAGGCCTCAGCTACCCGGATAGCATTCCATTGACTCTGGATACAATCCCAGAGGCAAGTTCAGGCATCCAGGCTCCAAGGAGGTTTGGAGCTGAGTAATCAGCTGCTAGGGCCGTGCAGACATTTTGTCGGGAGCAGCCAGCCCCCCACCTCTCTGAGCACAGAGGGTTTGGGGTGGGGGAGGGGCAGTCTGTCACTCCGTGTCTTCCCAGCCCCCTCCCACCACCGCGTTCTCCCTCTCCCCACCTGCAAGTAATTTGGCCAATGGGAGGGCAGTTAAGATTGCCGTGTGGAATCCCTCTGGATGTGTGTGTGCTTTTGGTGGGGAGGGGGCTGTCTCCTTTCCCCCCAGACCCTGGGTGCCCTTTTCCTCTTCACAGGAGCAAATTACTTGTAATTATCTCACATTGAAAGCCTTCAGGAGCTGCTCCCAAAATTGCTTTAATTGAATTAATTGAATCTCATTTTGTTGGGGGAGAAAATGGGGAGCAGGTCTTAAAATAGCACGCGGCGAGAGGGAAGGGAAGCCCGGAGTCAGCTTTCTTGTGGCTGAGACCCTTGCAGGGGAGAGAATGTGCCCTGGACTCCCCGTGGGTTCCATTGCCAGTCTCGGCTGGTTTACGTGCCCAGTGCACCGAGGGTCTTGCCTGGGTCCTGCTCTCAACTGGTGGTGACCAGGGATGCGTGGCATCTCCAGTCCCATCCCCCTCCCCTACCCTCAGGTGGCAGATGGGCCCCAGAGAAGTGAATGGATGGCAGTGTCCTGACCCCTCCCCCCTGATCATTACACAGCAGCTATATATGCCGTGTACGAAGTGCTTACTCTGTTCCCGGCACCATGTCAAGCACGGTACAAGCACTATCTCATTTCCTCATCACAACCACGCTGCAAGCAGGGCCTATGAGTGCTCCCCTCAGAGGGGCAGAAGCACAAGACTGGAACTCTTTGGAGGTCAAAGCTCCTCCCCCCCTTTTAAAAATGTTTTCATTTTTATTTTTTTCAGAGACAGAGAGAGATCAATTGGTTGCCTCCTGCATGGGTTGAACCCACACCCTGACCTGAGTATGTGCCCTGACTGGTAAGCAAGCCAGCAACCTTTTGGTGCACAAGACCATGCTCCCTGGCCAGGGCCAAAGCAACCATTCTTAACCACTCGGTCTCATCCTCTCTCCCTCATGGACCCGATTTTCTGAGAGGAACTCCCTCACGGAAGAAACCACAGGCTCCCCTCCTACAGCTCAGAGGGCGGAGGGAGGGGGGAGGGGGCTCCTCCTCTGGGGGGTTCCAGGCCCAGGGTCCCCCAGGAGCTCAGGGAAGCTGAACCGGCTCCCAAGGAGGAGAGTGTGCCCCTTCCCGCCTGGAAAGGGCAGCTGGATGCGGGTGGAAAGGGGGAGACGCTGTCAGCTCAGCAGGCCTCTGGCTGGGAGAGCAATTACACTGCTGCTACTTAACTTTACAACCTGGGCTGTTGTTTTAACGATGCGACTCGTGTTTGGCTGTCCAATTAATCTCGCCTTTGGAGGCTTTCCGAGATGGGGCGGTAGATCTTATCGTGGGTCTGTGGAAAGAGAAGTGTGTGCAACCTGCAGTGGGAGGGAACAGCAGCCCCGAGGGCCGGTGGCCTCAGAGGAGACCCAGAGGAGGCATCTGGGGCAGGGTCCCCTGAGAGCCGTGGAAAGAGGGGAGCCAGGGGTGGGGGGAAGGCACTGGTGCTGAGGAAGAGGAGGCTTCTCCTCTTGACACCCTCATTCTTCACTGCTCCTGGATCTTGGCTTTGCCGACCCCGTGCCATTTGCCATCCCCAGGAGAAATCTCCACGTGTGTTTTGGGAAGTGGGGGTGGTCACTGACCCAGAACAGGGCCTAGGAGGGGCGGACTGCAGACCTTCTCCTGAGCAGGGGGCTTCCACTGAATCGAACTCCCCACCCCCTACTCTACACACAAGGCTAATTTGGGCCTCTCTCCGGCTGGTGGGATTGACTCAACGTACTGAGTGGTCTTTCCAGACAGGGCGGGCCTGTGTGCCTGGGAACAGGTTCAGGCAGTAAGAGGAAAGCTGGAATTGGGAGCTGTTTTCCTGGACTTGGAGGCCCCTCCCCCACCCCTCCAGTCAGGCTGGGCTGGATTCTCTGAGTTATTGACCACCCTTGTCCCCTGCCGCTGGGTGCCGTATGTATGGTGGGGCAGGGTGGCTATGAGTCTACTGATGGGCCCAGGCCTAGTTGGGGCCCTGGACTATGCCCACTTCTGTTTATCCATGATCCTGACCCCACACCCGTGGCTGGCCATTTGTCTGGCTCCCCTGTCAGCCTGCAGAGTCTCTAGGTCACTTTGGAACCCACAGTGTCTGCCTAAGTCACCTTGGCATCTGGGATCTGGCAGAGCAGAGGCTCTACGAATGTTTATTGGACGGAGAAGTCCAGTTCCTTCTGGGGTTTTCTTCTCCTCCCGCTCCTACCCTTTCCTCTATGTGGGCTGGAGCCTTGCACTCTTCTCTCGGGGATGAGCTGGATCGACGTGGTGGGTACATTCTCTCCCAAGGGGGGCAGGGTCTGTCTGAGCTGAAGGTGGGGCGCAGAGGGCGGTGTGGTGTCTGGCTCCTTCCAGAACTGGGCCAGGAGAGACTTAGCTGGTGAGGACCATTCAGACTGAGGTTGTTCCCAGCATTAGCATCTTCTGGTTTCACACCGGAGCGTTATGAAAATATGGACGTTATTAGGACATTCTAGAACTAGAGTCACAGAACTAGTAGCAGAGGCAAACCCAGGCCCCAGTGCCTCTAGGTCAGGGCTGGAAGAGCCAGAGGGGAGAGAAGGAGATGAGCAGCCAGGCCCAGAAGTCAGGAAACAAGCACACCTCAGCCAGGGCCCGGGTTTTTGTACAAACTTTAATTTCTGGAAGTCACAGGAGGAGGGATGCTGGCAGGAGCACGGGGACACTAGTCCGATTGGTCATCCACGTATTTCATTCAGACAGAGTCAGGTGTGGGGAGCGGAATTGCTGGGCCCACCCCACCCATTTGGGGTGTCTCTACTTACACTCTTCCAGGGAGCCTGTTTGTCCCCATTCTGCCAAAGTCTCACCCTCCTGTGTTCCCAATAGTATGTGCACGTGGGGTTGTTAGGTATGAGGCAGGGCTCAATAAATACTCATTGAATTATAAGGATAATTGAAACCATTATCTACTCAAAATTATAAACGGGGGGGGGGGTGGGAGGAGGGGAGGGCTTTTTAAGGAAGAGAACATAAATTATCCATAGGCCTAGGAACTCCACACTTTCAGAATTCCTCTCCCTCACAGGAAGGTGAGAAGGTACATCAGTGATGGGGTGATGGGCTGACCTCTAGGAAACACTGGGAGGAGGGACCTGATGGTGGGCAACTTGAAGACTGGATGCCCACCTCACGCCCGCTTCTGCTCTCAAATGGGTTGGGCAAGGTCCAAGGCACACCCATTAAAACCACTCAGTGTGCGCCGGGACCGGTTTGGCTCAATGGATAGAGCCTCGGCTTGGAGACTGAAGGATCCCAGGTTCGATTCCGATCAAGGGCATGTACCTCGGTTGCGGGCATATCCCCGGTAGGGGGTGTGCAAGAGGCAGCTGATCGATGACTCTCTCTCATCGGTGTTTCTAACTCTCTATCTCTCTCCCTTCCTCTCTGTACAAAATCAATAAAATATATTTTTAAAAAAAATAAAACCACTCAGTGTGTCTTGCTGGTTTTGACTCCAGACTGTGGTAGGACTGTGGTAGGACTGTGGTCCCTCAAGGAAGGGGTGGCAAGACAGGGGTCCTGGGAGCAGTCTGAACTCCAGCCAATGACTCTCCAGAGCCTCTGGTCAGTTGAAGGGAAGGTGCTCAGTCCATGGTCGTGGTGAGGAGCAGGAAGTCCTTTATTGGGCTCCTTGGGTGATGGGGCCAAGGGGGGCAGGGCTCCATCTCATCCTTATCCTCTTCTAGTTCCTCATCCTGAGAAAATCCACCTGGAGCTGGTTACCTCCCAGCCCAGTGGAGGTGCGGATGGGCCGGGTCCTGGGCTGTGGAGGAGGGCTAGGGGCCTGGCCCACCTTTGCCCAGGCTCACATCATATGGGGTGGAGCCAGAACATCCGGGCAGTGGTGCTGATACCAGGCTCCAAAGCTGTTGCCATAGCTCCCAGCAGGCAGGGCCCCTGCCTTGGGGAGATCCCAGAGGGATGGCAGGGGTGGGGAGCAGGGAGACAGGGAGGAAGGCCTCCCAAACAAGTCCCCTTCCTGTCCCCCAGAGCTCTGTTTCAGGAGCTTCTTGTATTTGGAACGTTTGTTCTGAAACCAGATCTTTACCTTCAGGGAGAAAAGGGGACAGAATGAGGCGGAGTATGTGTGTGGAAGGATGTGACCCAGTAGGGAGCAGCCCTGGGGGAAGAGCAGAACCAGGGAACACTCGCTCCAGTCCTCCACAGTCCTGGACGCCCCTGAGCTCCCCCAGTCTGGATCCCCTCCTCCAGCTAAGCCTCCCCCTCCTCCAACCCCCGGTAATACACTCCCCCGGGTTCCCAGGGCCAGCTAGGAACACACCCTGGAGAACCTGTGACAACAGGGCTAAGGGACTCATCGGTCGCTCCCACCCCGGGGGTGCGTTCCCGGAGAACGCGGAGGAATGGTTAGCATGCAGGAAGGATGGGACCGGCCCCACCTGGGTCTGGGTGAGGCCGAGCTGTGCCGCCAGCTGGGCCCTCTCGGGCAGCGCCAGGTACTGCGTGTGCTGGAAGCGCTGGTTCAGGTGCTGCAGCTGCAGGCTCGAGTAGATGGTCCTGGGCTTGCGCAGCCTTTTGGTCGGGGCTCGAGGGAGCCGCTCCGAGGACTCCGGGGCCGGCGGCGGTTTCCCGGACTCTGCGGGACAGACAGCGGGACAGAGGGTGCGATGAACGAGGGCCGGACGCGCCGGGTTTTTCATGGGCTCATTTGCATCTCATTTGCATGCCGGCCTGGGATGAGCAAAAAGCCCCGGCGGGGCGGCTCTTCTCTACCCTCCGCTCCACTTGCCCTCGGGGAACTCACACTCTCAGGGGCCGCGTGACATCGGAAGAAAGCGCCCTGGGCCCGAGCGAGGGCAGGGGCGGTGCCCGCGGCGAGAGGTCAAAGTTCAGCCGGTGGCGGTGGCGCCAGCTCGGGGTGTGGCGGGGCGGGGTGGGGCTGACAGGCTGGGTGGAGGGCCGGGCTGAGGCCCGGGGAGGACGGGCAGGGCGTTCCAGGCGAGAGGAGCTCCAGGCCCGGCTTAGAGGAGCCTGACAGCGGCTGCGTGGCATCCCCTCCGCCACGGGAGGAAGAGGGGGGCGGTCCAGGATCAGCGCCCCTCTGATGCTGCCCCAAAGGGCCCGGCTGACCACCGCTCCCCTCCCCGCTGGGCCGGCTGGCCCGGGGCGGAGGCTCTCGGGGACCCCGGAGGCCGCCCGGCCGCACTCACGGGGGGATCTCGGCGGGCCGGTTGGGGAGGCGACCCGGGGCTGCAGAGGCGACGCGCGGCCCTCGGCCCCTCCTGGATCGGATCGCGCTGCGGTGGCCGCGGGAGAGCTAGTCACCTCCGGCCCCCGCGGCTCGGCCTCTCGGCCCTTGAGTGTGGAGGGAGAGGGGGCGAGAGAGTGTCCACTTCTGCATGGGGACACGGAGACCTTCCCGTGCCGATGGGCTGGTGCACCGAGCGGCTGACATGCCCTCGGGCTTAGGGCGAACAGTCCCAGCTGCGGGGGCGCTGGACCCCTGAGCGCAGACGGCTGGGGTCCCCCCTTGCCCCATCCCCTCGACCTTCGTCCTGTCTGGCTCAACCCACACGGCAGGTTCCCCGCCCTTGGCTGTCTGCCTCCCCCGCATCCCTCTCCCTGGCCTGGGGCGCATAGGGTTTCCCAGATCCACCCCCTTCGACCTCCCGCCCCCCCACCTCAGTCAATTCTCAGAAAGAAAAAAAGAAAAGAAAAACGGTTGGGTTTCCGCTCCAGCCCGCGCCGTCCAGCCTTCATGGCTCCAAGCCTGGGGCTGGCAGCCCAGCGCCCATCTCTCAGGCTGCGGGACTGGCCACTTCGGAGGGTGACGCAGAGAGAGCCCGGGAGGCAGCCCGCGGGGCTCGGAACTCTGCAGCCCTCGGCGCCCCGGCTCTCCCAGCAGCCCCCCAGGCTCCCTCGCTGACAGCCGCCTCTCTCCCTGCCGCTGCAGCAAGTCAAGTCCCGACAAGCTCTCCCCTGGTCCGCACTCCGGAGCCCCGGGGCCTCCCTGAAGTCCCAGCTCACAGGGTGGTGGCACTTAGCTCACTGGGAGCCAAACCTCCCCCTGAGGCGGGGGTGGACGCTGAGGGGGGCGAAAGGAGGACCCCAGGCCCTCTCACACCCCAATTGTCCCATCCAGAAACCCACCGGGTTCCGTGAAAAACGCTGCCATCTAGTCCAAGGACCAGTGTGGTTTTCGTTGCACCCGGGGAAATTGCATAAAGAAAATGAACTCTCACTCCCAGCCTTAGACTGAGCAAGGGAAGGCAGGGACGGTGGTCAGCAAGGCTCAAAACACCTTTCCCATTTTTTGGCAGTTATCTTAAGGACCGGGTTATCTTACTCCCACCCCAGCCCCACCGCAAACACGCACTCACACACAAAGGTACCACATCAGCATATTCCGAAGGGAAGGGACCGAGGGCTGGTTTGTAGCAACGAGATAATTTGTGGACATCTTCCCCAACTGCCCATCCCCCAATGATGGCCTCAGCAGCTGGGGAGAGGCAGCTGCCGTTCAGGCACAGAAAGCAGTTCACATTGGGGGGCTCTGAGAACCTTCCCTAAAATCCACTTTTCTGGCCTCCCGTGGTGAAAGTCAATTTGCCAAGCCCAGGAGTCAGGAAAACAGGCTGTGTCCTTTGCCCACACACACCCTTTCTTTAGGCCTCTGTGTGCTCCTCTGTACACCCAGGAGATTGAGCTCCCAAATGTTTAGGGTCACCCCTAGCTCTGAGGCTTAGGAGCTTCCGTGTCTCAGCGGAGTGACAGGAGCAGGAAGATGTCTCGGTCCTGGGCTGACTCCAGCGAGGTCACCCGTTCATGCGACGTGCAACCTTGGAGGAAACTGCCAAAGACCACTGTGGGGTCAGTTCGGTGGGGGCAGGGATGTGGGGGGCCTGGGGTCTGAGCTGGCAGCCAGGACAGGAGGTGCCTGTACGGTGATCCCAGGACCAGGAAGACAGGCTCGCTGCTTGCCCCTTGGAGGCTTTGATGACCTCCAGCGAGCACTTTCTCCGGAGCCTAGAGTTGCTCCAGGCAATGGGAACTCGGGCCTGACATGCCCCAAAGGCAGGGGGCAGAGGTGACCGAGGCGGCCAGTTCCTGTGGCTGGAAGGCTGAGGTTTGCCCACCTGTGGCTACATTCCTAGGACAGTGGATGGCTGAGTCCTGGCCCAGGTCAGCGTCCCTCCTCTCAGTCCGGCGCTTTGGGCAAAGTCCAGGAGCAGAGGGAAAGGGGCCCCAGATGGGCCCCTACTCCCACTGCCCTCCGCTGGAACCCCATTTCTACTTTTCAGGCTTCGGCTTGAGCACAAAACGAATGCGGCGGAGAGGGGCGGCGCGGGGAAGGGGCGTGCAGGACGGAGAGAGCCCTGGGGAAGGGGCTGGGCACCCACACCCACATCTGGATTCTTTCAGTTTTCCGTTACCCGGTTACCCGGAGATACACACCAGCCCGGGGGCTCCAGGGGGTGGGGTGGAGGGCCCCGCGGGCCCCACCGCCCCCGCTTCACACACTGAAAATCGAAACCAGGTCGGTCTTGAAAGGAGACCTAGATCAGCTCGCCCACGCCCCTCCCCCTCTCCCCCTCCCCCGTCCTCTCACCCCCATCCCCCGCCCTATCCCTTTGCCTTCCTCCCATTCCCAGATCCCCTGGAATCTGAGTAAGGTCTGAATCCCGCTAGCTGCGCCCAACCAGGCGAAGACCAGGTTTAGGGGTTCACAGGAGGAGAACCCCGGAGATGGGGGAGCAGCCGCGTCCTTACCTGCCTCCCGCGCCTGCGGAGGGGGCGGGGCGGGCGCCGCGGGGTGCTGGCAGGGCGGGTAGGCGTCTGCGGGCGCCGTGGGTCCGGCGGGGTAGGGGCAGGGCAGGAGGTGGCCGTACGGCCCAGAGCAGGGGAAATCCGAGGCGCCTGCGGTTGCGGGGGACAAGCCTAGCGGGTAGGCAGCCACGACGGACGGGACGGGGGCGATATCCGGGAAGAGCGCTCTGGAGGCGTCCGGGCCAGGGAGGGGGCAGGGCGAGGAGGACATTGCGGCCGGGCCGGGGCCGGAGGGCCTACGCCATGACCCCGCACGCAGTCCGCCTTCTTGGCCAACGGTCTCTTCTCCGAGCCCCGGGCGCTGAGGCCGATGGGGCCCCCCGGCGAGCCTCCCCCAGACTTAAGATCCCGGCAAAGTGTCTCTGCGCCTCTTCCAGCCGGGAGCGCGCGCCTGGGAAAGGGGTTCCGGGGTTGCCCCCATGGCTTTTCCCCTCCCCCTAAGTCCATGGGGGGCCCCCCCTCTTCTTGCTCGTGGGTTCGGTTCCCGGGACCCAACAGGGGCCCCGCCCACCTAGACGCCCCGGATTGGCCGCCGCACGCGGTGACTTCACGGGAGGCCCGGCGCCAGGGCCCGCCCCCGGGGCAGCCGGAGGGAGGAAGCTTCGGAGCCGGGGATGCGAGGGGGCCGGCTACCCCGGGGTCCTCTCTGACCGAGCTGCCGGGGTGGCGGGGGACGGGGCCGTCTGGGAACGTCACGGTCACGAAGGCAGAAACGGAGGGAGCTGGCGGGGCTGCGATGCCCGAGGAGCCAGGGGAGCAGCTCGGCGGCGCCGGGGCGCTGCATCGGCGGGGGCGCCGGGAAGCTGCGGCGGGAGGCCCCCCGCTCGGGCCCGGGCCCGCAGAGCTGAGGGGAAGCAGGGCACGGACCCGAGTGCCGGCAGCTTATTCACCGCGTCGGAATGCGTCGCTGCGGAGCGGCCGCAGGTTGTTGGTAAACAGACGCCGGGCTGGGGGAGGAGCCGGCCGGGCTGGCACGCGGCGCGCACGCCCCCGCCGGGTGCCCGGGGCCTGGCACTCCGCGACCGCCGCCGCCGCCGCTGCGCCCACCACTCCCCCACCGCCCGGCCTCGGCTTCCGCTTCCGGCTGTGGCCCCATTTGGTTTGGACACCCCAGCTCCTGCTGCGGCCCCCCCCCCCCCAGGGCCACAGGAGGGACCCACAGTCTGGGCTTCTGCCCCTGGGACGTCCCACCTGTCCCCTGGCGCCCGTGAGGCCGAGGCCGTGCGCTAACTGGGACAGTAATCCGGGGGTGGGAGGCCAGTCCAGTTTGCTGGCTCCTCAGAGGGCGTAGGAAATGCAGCTGGCCTGGCTCGGTGGCCGCATTTTCAGTCTGCGTGCAGGACCTGCCTCTAAACATGAATGCCCAGTACCTTGGTGGACACGTGTCCACGTGCAAGCATCTATGACCACAGGTACACAGAGACTCCATCCAGATACAACTATACCAATAAACGGGTGTCTAACTGATGATCCATTAGCATCCCTCTAAGAACAGAGAGATTCCTTAATGGATCTGCACATACGGAGTCTAGGCTGTGATATATACATATCTACATACCCAAAGGTGAAGAGCAATATCCCTACTATACTTGTCTCTTACACAGACCCACCACTATACAGGTCGAAATGCCAGTGTGTACCTTTGAAAGCCCAAGCATATAAGTCCATAGAGGTGTGTAGGTACCACACGCCTCTCAGATGCTTTATGTTAGAGGAGAGACAGATACACCCCCAAGTCCATATACACACCTTTCACTTGAGTATTCAACTCAAGCAGGCGTGTTCATGTTGGTACGCACACGCACTCTCATTATCAGGGCTCAGAGTGGAGACAGCAGTCTTAGGATTGGGTGGGGAAATACAGTGATCAGAGGAAGAGGGAAGCTTAGCAGAGTGAGAGAAAGCACTGGGAGTGGCCAGGCTCCCGTCTCTTTAGAGAGACAGAAAGATCAAAGGGGTGGGGGAGGGGTTGACCTCCACCCCCAGTCAGGTGGCCCATGGGGTAGGAGGAGCAAATCGGTTTCAATCCGGACTCCCCACTAGAATGGATTGAGAGTTTTCCCAAGACAACACGTCTCTGGCAGCGGGCACCGGAAGTGCTGGCGCTCCAGGAACAGGAGCTCTGAGCCGGAGCCTTCCTCCGGGCTGGAGAAGCCACGCCCTTTCATCCAGCAGGATGTGCAAGGTTCTCTCCCTTGAGAAATTTTGTTTTCACGTAGGACCACCTTCCCTCCTTTCTTACCCAATTCTGCCGCTCCTCCTCCACCTCCTTAGAACTGAAGCTACGAACTTGCAAGGATGAATCCTTACAAACCTTCCGTTCCGCCACCACCTCTTCCTCTGGGGGAGGCAGCCACGCTGCCTGCCCGGAGCTATGGTGGGTTCCAGGGACCGCACCTCAGGGTGCCTCGGAGGAAGAGCATGCTCTTTGGAGTAGGTAGGCTGTCAGGGAAGGTCTCCCTAGGACGTGCTTTTGAGGTGGAACTGAAAGGGTGGCGGAAAGACATGTCCTCCCGGGCCTTGTACCTGGAGTCCTTTCTGTGCTGGACCTAGCCAGAAAGGGCAGGCGGGTTCACACCCCCGCTCCCCCAGGCCTCTGTCCCAGGCACCCCCAAAGCCAGGAGGACCATAGTGAGAGCCTCTGGAAGCTCTCAGGGGGCTTTGCTGAACTCATGCAGGACCCTCACCCCCACGCACCAGGAGGAAACACCCTGCAGCCCTTTTGAATTTATGAAACTCACAACATCCTATCCTTGTACATCTTTACAAAAAAACATGAGTGAAGTGGGTGCTTCCCGTTTACAAATGCAGAAAGTGCTCTCTCCATCAGCCCCTCACTTCTCAGAGTTCCCTCTTCTGAGCTCAGGGGCACCTGATTGGGGAACGTGAGCCCAAGAGAGAGATCCTCTCTGGGCAGGTGCCACATTGCACCCACCTGGGGAAGGGGGAGTCGGGAAACGGACAAGAGGTGGGCATGGGGGCTGGGAAGAGCTGCGAATGTGTTTGATGGGAGGGGAGGGAGGCCTGCGGCCTGGGTTCCCATTCCAGCTCAACCTCCAACTTCCTGGCTTGGTGGACTGGGTCACTGGGTCAGCCATTTCCCATCTCTGAGACCCGTTTTATCCAGAAGGGGTAACCAAGGAGGAAGCTGTGCTGAAGACCTCCATGCTTTTGTCATTTGCTTTAGAGTGAATTGCAAAAACCCAAATCCCAAAACGTAATGAAACCTGTGGGGGGGGGGCAAGAAAAACAAAAACGAACTCTGTCCTGTCACTGCCAATATCTCAGCCTCTCCCGAAGCGGCCCTCCCAGCCTTCCTCCGGGGAACCCCATACTGAGTGAGACCCTGGGAGCGGAGGGCAGAGTCGGAGTGGGGACACCCAGTCGCCACGGTGTTGCGGTGTTGGGGGTCACTTCAGGAGTGGCGGCTGGACCTGGGAGACCCTCGTGGTGCACAGTGGGTGGCCAATCCGGGGCTCTTTGCAATCCTACCCCATCGATCAATCGATTGATAGATCAGAAACACGATTCTCTGCGCAGAATAAGCATCCGCGGCGGTGCGGTGTGTGCCTTGCTGGAAGCCATCACCCCAAGTGCGGATTCTCTCTGGAAGCGTGGACTCCATCCGTTCGGAACACGTGGTGGGTGCGCAGGGCTCTCGCGCAGCCCCGGGGCTCGATCCTGGCGACAGAGGGCTCCCGGTCCGCTGGGGTGCGGACAGGTGAACAGAGACCGCACCGCGACCCCAGGCCTCGGGCGCGCTCATCCGCTCCCTTTCTCCTCCAACCCACCCGCAGTCCCCAAAACGAAATCGGAGCTTAGTTCTGTCTGTTCTCGGTGGGATTTAAGTCCTATTTGGCGGGGCTTTCGTAGGAACTCGGTTTGGGGAAACTTTGTGAATAATTCGGTCTGGTGGGGTGGGGGTGGGGTGGAAGGAACTCTCCCTCCGCTTGGCCGGGTGCGCGGCGGTTAAAGCCCCCACAGTCTGTGAGGCCCGGGAGGGCAGTCCGGAGAGGCCGGCGTCCCACGGACTCCCCCTCGCCCTCCACCCTCACCCCGTTTCACTTGGCGATTCTTTTCTCCGTTCAGAGGGAGGGATGCTGAGCGTGCCCGGCGGCGGACGGTGCTGAGGTCGCCGAGAGCCCGCCCTGCGCCTGCCGGCGCCCACCTCCAGCTCCCCGGAGCGGAGCGCTCTCAGGGCGCCGGGCGGCCGGCCTCGGCGACTCTTGGAGGAGGAGGAGGAGGAGGAGGGGGAGGAGGGGGCGAGAGGGAGGGGGAGGGGGAGAGGGAGACCGTGAGGTCGGCACCACGGGGGAGGCCGTGGGGTCGGCACCACCTCTGATCCCCGCACCGCCGGGCGGAGGGCTCCCCACGAAGGCCTCCCGCTGCGTCTGCAGCCACACGCTCATGCGTCCTTGCTTCCCTTCCCAATGCCAGCCCCGCTCCGGAGAAACCTTCCCCGTGGGCTGACCGGGATGTTTAAAGAACACATCCCTACGAAATCACCGAGCGCGTTCCGGATAAACAAACTAGAACCACTATTGGGCCGAGCCCCCCCCCCCCCCCCCAAAGACGATGGTTAGCCTAAAGGGAGGCGGCGTGGAGGGCGCGGTGCGGGCGCTGCCCCCGCCAGGCAGCCGGACTTGCCCTGGAGCAGGAGCCACGCAAGGGCCGGGGTGGGGAGCGCGGGCTCCGGGCCCGGGAGCCGGACTTCTGGGCCGGGTGTCCCAGCCGCGGACCCGCCAGGAGCCCCTCCGGCCGCCCACTCGCGGGGACCCCGAGCCGGACACCGGGGTGGGAACGGATTAGAAGGAGGCGAAGCGCCGAGCGGGCGGGAGGCCCGAGGGCAACCCGGATGCAGCGAATTCGCTCCGAACGAAGGCGGCGCGGCCGGGCTTTGCAGACACCCCGGACCCGGCGCAGACACGGGGGCGGTCTGCGGGGTCTCCACCGCCCGGGGCCCGCGGAAGCCGGCGCCGGGACGGAGCTGGAGTGAGGATGCTCACCCAGCCAGCGCGCACGGCACCGCACGGCACACACGCAAATCATTAACATGAACACATTCTCGCTGACCCCGCAGCCAGCACGCACCCACAGGGGCTACCCCACACCTAGAGGCATACAGCACGGCCTCACCACACACACAGCGCGCTCCCGCCGTGTGGGCGCGCACAGCACTCACGCCCGCCCCTCTCTGCCCCCATGGATTTG